GGCGGCTTTCTTGCGTTCCTACTTATGGGACAGAGCCTTCCTGTGTGGGCACATTGCTGATGAGAATCCCAGGGTCCTAACTGCCCTTGGTGTAGTGGTTCCACATTAGGCTGGCAAGAGTGTGGCGACCTCCTGCACTGCGGGTGGTCCTGTGAAATGGTACCACCACTGTAGAGCACAGAATGACACTTCTTTATAAAACTGGAAAGAGAAGTGCCATCTGATCCAGCACTATGTACCGATCTTACAAGAAGTAATAGCCATGGATTTAAATACACGGAACACTCTGAAGCCCCTCATCAATGTATGCCCACATTCATCCCAGCATTATCACGCAAGGAAAACGACAAACCACCTGAGTGGCCATCGGTGAATGAGTGGATGGATACGTGGAGGCACACCAGGGGACACTCAGTCATGCTCAAAAATAACGGTGTGTCCGCAAACCACCTCAGAACATGAACAAGCCTGATGCTGCGGGCAATTAGCCAACCACAAAAGGACAAGTGAAGCGTGAGACCGCTCCTGTACAAGCACACTTGGAAGAGCACCAGGGGTGGGGGAATAAATGTAAGCGAATGACTGGATGAAGGGGTGGTATCCAGATGAGAAAGCAAGAGACAGAACTCTGGCCACAGTCCGACACGGGAAAAAATCCCGGGGCATCGCGTAAAGAAACCTACTGGCACTAATAGGAAAGATTGTCCAGGCTGCACGAGACAACACTAGCTGTCACGCAGGATGCATTTCAGCTGTTGTATTTTTAGGTTTTCTTGCTTTGATATGGCTATAGGTCTATTTCATAAAACAAAAAAAAATAGACATAAACAAATCAACTGCTCTACAAGAAGAAATTGGCTAATAAGCACAAATGACTGCAGTTATTAAAACTAATCAGTCCACAGAGCAACATAAGGGGGTGGGGAGGGAACAGGATAAAATAACTGGCTGAGAAACAGAATGCAAAATCCTCCCATACCATAAACACAACTCTCACGGCCACCGAGTCAATGCTGACTCATCGTGACTCTCCCGGACAGGGTAGAAGGGCCCCCGTGGTTTTTCGAGCCTGGAAGGCTTTACAGAAGTAGAAACCTCCTTTTGGCTGCCTTTGGAGGGGGGGTTGGTTTTGAACTGTTGACCGTGCGGTTAGCAGCCCAACTCGAAACCAGTCTGCTACCAGGGCTGCTGACCATGGGCACAGCCAAGCCAACAGTTCAACGATAGAGAGAGGGTCGAGAGCGAAACATGGGAGAGTAGAGAAGGTGACACACTCTTTGTGGTGGTTGTGGTACTGCTTACAAAATAGTGTTTCTATCTCAAAGGCTTGAGCGGGTAGAGGGGGTTCATTCTCCAGAGGGGAAAGGTAACACCGAATGAGGGCGCAGTGCACAGCTTGAACACGGTCACCGGGGGACTTTGTACTCACAGAACGAGGAGGGGCAGTTCTGTCCTACAGGGTCACTGAGGGTTGGGTGAGTTTACTTTCTTACGGTACGTATCATTGTGAGCACACATCAAGAAAACAAATACATGTGTACGTGTGTGGAAACGCACTTGTTTGTATGTAGAAGTACCTATATACATACATATGAAAAAATGGAATGAAAAGGTAATGGAATGTTCCTGTGAACTTAACCTTTTGAAGCCCCCTCATATGTGTGCACATAGGCGCACAGTGTATGTTTACACACTGATGCAGGCACACACATACACCCCTATGCATCTCTGTGACTGTGTGCTGAGCACAGCCCAGTAACTCCCCACCAGAGACTCCACCCCTTGCTAGTTTCATGTTACCAGGTGCCTGCATTTGAGGCGACCCACGCATTTACCCCGCAGGGGTCGGCCTAGGGAGAAATGCAAACGCGCGCTTGTCCTCACCGTGGCGATGCCCTTGGCCTCCTGGTAGGTCACCTTGACAATGTCTGCGACGCTGGTGTTAAGGAAGAAGTAGCCAGAGCCTTCGCGGATGTGGAGTTCCACCTGCCAAGAGACAGACGCAGGAGGGGCTCGGGCCTGTGGTTGGTCTCGTGGCTGTCTGGGCAGGTGGAGCAGGGGAGGGGTCTACCTGCACTCCGGGGTGGTTGTAGATGGTCACCTCTTCAGGACTCACTCTTACGTCTTCCACCAGCATCAGCTCAATGGAGGCCGACACGGGCATGAGGGGATCGCACTGCAGAGGCAAGGCCGAGGCCATCAGTCCCGCGGTCCCAGCCCAGCGCTGGGCTGCCCTGCAGGACCCCCGTGGGGAGAGCAGTCTCCTATCCTGGCATCAGTCCAGGCCGCTGTTATTTCTGGACACAAACCCCAATAAAGCCATCGTATTTCTGGGCCCAGCTAAAGGGCTACTTGTGATGGAAGGTGCCCCTGCGTCCTCCCAAGGCTGCGGGCCAGCAGCAGCCTCCCCCATCCACACTCATCAGAAGTGGGGGTGACTCCTGGGACTCCTCAGATAGCACCCCATCCCAGCCTGGGAGGCCTGGGGGTGTGTTGGGATGGAGAGTGACTCCCACAGGCCCTGTGCTGTGGTTAATTTTTGGTGGCCATCTGGCAAGGCTGTGGGGCCCAGTGGTCTGGGCAGACACTATTGCTATTGCTGGTGGGGGAGGGACACCGGGTGTGCGCAGGTGGCTCTGAGCCACAAGAGACTCAGAGACCTGAGGCAGAACAGCTCCTCAGGCCCAGGCCTCCAAGGATGCTTCTGTGAGGGGCCAGGGTTTGAGCTGGAGCTAAAGCCCACCTGGTGGGCTCAGTGGAGCAAGGCCACAGGAGGGCATTTGGGGTGCAGGGACAGCATGTGAGAAAGCTTGATCATGGGCCACAGGGCCACCCAGGTGGGGCCTGTGAGGCAGGGCATGGGAGAAAGAGGTGGGTGGGACAGAGGTGGCCTGAGAACCAGCATGCTTTCACCCTCAAGGTCCTGAAGGCCACCAGGGCGGGTAGGCCAAAGCTGAGGGGTGCAGATTTGGTTTGCTCACCCCTGTAGTCTAAAGAGTGGACAGCTCACTGGGTGGGGGAGCCCAGAGCCTGGAAGGAGACCCAGAATTTAGAGGAGCCCACACCTCATTCCCACCAGAGCTCCCTCTAGGGAGGGTTGGCCTTGGCAGGAGGCTTAGGACAGGGCAGGAGCAGGATTTGTGCAGAAGCAGAGTGACCCCCCCCCCCACACACACACACACCCCTGCCCTGTCCTGCAAGCGGGGGCCCAGGAGATACCGGTTGCTGCACTCTGGCTGCACTGAGGTGTGACTGCTGGTAGCCTGTGACGGTGGCAGAGATGGCTGCATTTCCCGAAGCTTCGTGCACCAAGATGGCCTGCAGACCTGAGGGCCGGCGGAGAAGCCAGGGCTTAGTCTGCGCCCCGCTGCTGCCTTTGAAGCAGCCCCTCCCAGCTCCCGACGTGGTTTCAGAATCTGCTTAGACTGCCTGTGCCGGGAGAGTTTACAGACCCCGAGCAAACCTCCACAAAGCCCGTCAGGCGAGGAGCGTGGGGGGGTGCACCCCCACTCCACTCTGGAGGTGGCATGGCTGAGCGGAGCCCAGAGGTTTGTGCCAGGCAGATCCTCTCTAGAGTATGAGATTGGGAACGTGCCTGGTGGGTGCCCCAACCCTCTGCTTCCCCCACCCAACAGGAATTCCTCACACCATTTCTGGGCTAGATTCAATGAGAGCAGTGTGCTTGTGGGGCGTTTAGCTCTGAGTAAAGGGTGTACCCGATTGTAAGCCACTCTCCATCTGCTGGTGGATCCCAGGCCCGCCCACACGGCATCCTCTTGGGGTCTCACTGCTCTCCCTTTCCTCCTCCCTGGGCGTCCCCCAACAGCTCACCATGCAGCTTCTTCTGGCCACTCCCGTCATCCTGGGACACCAGCGTCATGGGCTGGGTGACCTCAATGCTGGCCAGCGTTGGCCTGGTGGACTCCCACTGGATGCTCAGAGAGCTGAAATTGTCGAATCTTCGGCCCTGCTGGTCGTAGGCGGCCAGGTTGAGCAGGGGATTGCGGTGGTTGGAGACTGGGACCTGCAGGAGGGTAAGCATCAGACAGCCACAGCTGTGGCCAGTCCTGAGCATGCCTACTCTCTCTCTCTCGAAATAATGCTTATTGTGTTGGGGCTGTTGGAGCTTAGGTTACAGAGCAGTCTGGGTTCCTTAGCCCATCGTTTCGGTACAAGTTGGTCGGTCGCATTGGCCACAAGCTTCATGGTGTGTTCACAGGCCCAGTCTATCCATCTGGTGGTTTCTACTAATTTGGTTTCTCTGCCCTTCGCGTCGTGATTGATTTCACATTAACTGTTAACCCTTTTGGACTCGGGTAATGTTTTCAAGGAGTGCAGTGATCACGGGTGACATTCCTTATCTTGGGAGTTAATCTGTTACTTAGCTAAAAGGTGACCTCAGGGAGCAGCTTTGAGTCAGGGGTCACGAAGGGTCTCAAAGCGACCGTCTCAGAGAGCCCTCCGGGCAGCACACACACGGCTCTGCTTTTGTTTTCAGGAACACTGCAGTTCTACGTCACATTTTGATCCCATTCTACCAAAGTCCACCTATCGTGGCCCCTATCAGCTGGATGCCTGCCTTTGGCCACACGGTGAACCTCGATCCCAGCAAGCTCTCTTTCGGTGGTTCTGGGGAGGGAACGAAAATGAACCACAAATACCGCCCGGCCACAATGTCCTCCACGACCCTGTCCAACCTGGCCTCACCACCCCAGAGGACTTCTGGCCATGTCTAGAGATGCTTCTTGTTGGCCATGCCAGTGTGTGCGGATGCTACAGCCAGGGATCCTGCAACCCTGCGCAGACAGGCTCCCCGTCTCCCTACCTGGACAAGTCACTCACTCTCCCCAGTTTACCTTGTTTCCCATTGTCTGAGAGCTTAAATCCCCAGCACCAAGTCTGTGCAAGGCTACAGTCCACAGTGGAATCCATAAATCCAGTTCGGGTCCCCCCAGGGATGCAGCCTCCACTGGTACACAGATGGCTGTTGGAGCCCCTGCTTTCTTTTAGGTCTGTGGAGGGTGGGGCTGCTGGGTTACCTGGCAGTTCTGATGAGTCACTTTTTGAGGGCAGCACTGTTTCCATTTCCCACCGTGGCTTTAAGCCTAGGCTAGAAAACCAGACAAGCCAGTGCACGAGCCGGGTGGCCCCTGCCTGCTTGCTGTTGGCGACCTTTGGGGCAGCACAGTGTGACTTGGAGGAGCGGGGCTAAGCACTCAACTGCTAACCCAAAGGCCTGAGATTCAAACGTCCCTGCTTCTCTGTGGGCAGCAGCCGTGGCAATCTGCGTCCCTGAAGACCAGGGCCCTGGGAGCCCTGGGAGGCTGTCCTGCTTGCTCCTGGGGCATCGCTGCAAATCTGCACGGACTCAGTGGCAGCCGGTTTGGTGTGTGGTTATGTCTGTCTGCACCGAGAGACGCAGCCTGGCTGTGGGGCGCAGCTTCGTGTTGGTGAGCGGGCCATAGATCTTGCCAGGGCGTCACGGGCCTCGGACACAGAATTGCCTGTGATCCATCACGGCTCGAGGTCAGGAGCCGTGAACCGCTCAGCCCCGGCCCTGGGGATTTATGGTCTCATTAGAGGACCTTGGAAAAGATGGCACTGCAATCCATCCTGGGGCACCGTGTCAATTTCATGTTACCTCTCTCCACCGCCAGAGGCCAGCCCAGCAGTGTTTGCAGTGTGAATTATTGGTCAGGCAAGACAGCAGAGCAATAGGACACGATCAGGGTTCTGCGACGAAACAGGGTCACACTCCAGTGGGGCTCCGGCCTGAGAACAGCCTGGCCAGGCTCAGCTCTCTGCCACTGGGCACCGTCGGGTCCAGAGAGCAGTTATTTGGGCTTCGATGGAGCTAGCCCCTGCACTGGGGAGGCCTCACAGTGCTAGGGGGCTCTGAGCCTTCGAATCAGTGGAGCAAACTCTGAGCCTCAGTTTCCCCATATGTAAAGTGGGGATAAGGTTGCCTCAAAAGGCCACTGGGAGGAGTGCGCTCGTCAGCAAGCTTGTTCGCAGTGGATGGGCAGAGACAGAGAATGCTGGTTTCCCACTGGATCTACGAGATGCCCCTTGTGGGCCCTGCCCCGTAGAAACGCTCAAAAAACGTTGCCCTTATTGGATGAGAGATGGGCAGGAGCATCGTCCTGGTGGAGAGGCACACTGGCATTTTCTGCCAACGCATTGGCTAGCTTTCTCAAAATCCTCTAATAAACACGGGGCTGTCACTGTTCTCTGGCTCTCCGTAAAACAACCAGCAAAATGCCTCCAGCAACTGCGAACCCACGTCCGTGACCTCTGCTCTCGCCTGGACCACTTCCGCCTCTTGTTAGCCATCACGTGGAGTGTGCTTGTCTTCAAGGTCATTCTGGTTGGTTCATAAGCCACGTCTCATCTCCTCCTACAATCAAACGCTTCCGGGCCTTGATCCTACCCATTTAAAATTTCCACCGGAAGCGCTTCCCTGTCTGCAGCTCACCTGGGCACACCACTTTGGCTGCCTATCGAAAAGCAGTTTGCTCAACTTTAAGTTTCCAGTCAGCGTGGCGTAAGCTGGACCGAACGAGATGCCTCTGGTGTTGGCTGTTGTTCCTGATGCGAACTGCTGGTCCTCTCTCAAGACGGCACGAACCAGACGAAGTTTTCTTTTTTCCCTTTGCCAACTGATGGGGATGGTCTGCTGCCTCCGGCTTCCTCGTCACCATCTCCCCGCACCCCCTTACAACGAGCGATCCCCTTGTAAAGCGCTGGCTCCACTGGGGGTACTGTCCCATAAGCTTTTGGTGAAGCATCGATAATTACCCCATTCGCCCACCCGAGCTTTATTCTAAGCGTGAAGCTTATTCTCGCTGCAAACAATTCCTCCCAGGCCGTCAGCACAGGCAGCTGGCCAGCCATGGGCTGCCTGGGAGAAGAAAGGCAGGTGCTGCTGAGAAGGCTCCGGATCTGGAGCTGGGCAGGCGGAGGGTCTGCTTCTGGGATTTCATCCAGAAGCCTCAGTCCGTGGTTGTGTGATGCAGGTGTGTCAAGTAGCTTTCGCTGTGGACATAGTCACAGTGAGGGTAGAACAAGGCCCCGAGTTTCTGGAAGTTTCTGGGGTATAAAACGGTCTTAATTCTTGCGTAGGTAGTAGAAACCCCAGAGGCTCTAGCGTGGCCTGAAAGCCCTTTCCACTTGCTGTTCTACCTGCCCGGGGCACCTGCCCCTCAGTTCTCCTTGGCTGGCAGCTCCTTACCCCATGAGCACACTCACGCTTGCCCATCTCCTCCTCAGAGAGGCCTTTCCTAACAATCCGGGGGCCTCTTCCGATCATCTATCACACCCCATCATTTCCTTCTCAACTCTGGCGCGGTCTTGCTTCGTGGTGCACTTCCTAACCTGCTCGGCAGCTCCAGGAGACAGGCTCTACACAGTCCTGATGAGGCTGTACCCGCCCCAGAGTCTACAACTGTGCCTGAGGCGGAGCAACTGCTCCATAAATCTACATCGAATGAATGAATGAATGAATGAATGGGAAGCTGCTGCCTCATAGGAAGGCCCGGGTGAAGATGCCGTCAAGCTTAGCACCCTGGTCTGTGGGGGTGCTGAACGCCTAAGGGATTTTAGGGCTAAACTGGTGAGAAGTACGGGGACACCTGACCCAGGGGGTTCACTTCATATCCCCGTTGCTAACACAGCCATAGATGATTGCCCACCCCCAACCCCCTCCCCACTTCTGAAACACAGCCCCATCTCCACCCATACCCTGGAGAATGCTGCACTGGCCACGTCTCAGGGGCCCCCCGCCTGGGCTCTGACTGCACATGCACACACACAGTGCCAACCCCACCAGCACACCTGAGTTACAGAGGAAACAACGAGGTCTTAGCAGGCTGCCAATGCCAAGCGCAGGGAGCTACGACAGTCTCCCCTGGCACTGACTGCCGTGACCAGCTGTGATGTGCGGAACCCCTTCTCCGAGTCCTGGATCCGGCCCGCCTGAGTAGGATTAGGTACAGGTGGTCTCCGCCCGTAGCTATTGCTGTGTGTCTGGACAGTTGGGTCCTCTTCCCAACCAACTAGTGACCTGTCTCACACACCCCCGCACGAACCTGCCCGCACTCACCACCTGCTTGTTCTGCTGCAGCAGCGGGCAGGACAGGTCCAGCTGCGGGCTGGCGTAGACAGGCATGAGGGTGAGCCGAGATGGGGGAGCACAGATGAATTTCACCACTGCAGGTTCCACCGCGGGGAAGGGGTTGGTGATGCTGAGCTTGTTCCCCACGGAGAGGGCAATGACCTGGGCGGAGCAAACAGTGAGTCCCTGCCGCCCCTGGGGCTGAGCGGGGTCACCCAGGCTCCCCCTCACACTCCCGTTCCCTTTACTGTAAGAAGGGGGTGCCGATGAAAGAGACAGAGGCTTGTGTTTGCTTTCAGAACTGGAAGCCTCGTTTTATGGGAAGGACCAGAGGGAGTCGGCTGCGGGCCCGTTCTGAGGGAGCACCTCCAGGACACTTTCTGTGGGTCCACCAGGGGTCCCCCGCCCTCCCTGGCAATGGAGCAAGGCGAGGCAACATCCCCACTGGTCTGCAGGCTTTCCACGTGACTGAACCTTACTCTGCCCGTTTGTGGCAGGGTTGCCGTCAGATCGGCTCGCTCTAAGGGCTGCTCTGGAGCTGAGCGAAAATCTTGCTGTGAGGCACGGCAGGTCACTCAGGCAATGGGCTTGCGACATCCCCACCTCCAGACAATCCGGGTGCGCGGTACCAGCCTTCTCACCTGCTCGCCCAAGGCCTGGCAGGTCACAAGGATCCAGTGTTGCTGGTAATTCCGGGAGGCAGGGGGCCCAAGGAGAGCCAACAGGATGCTGTCCGCATTCTCCGAGGTGATGTTTCGGAAGAACTTAGATGGCTCAAGGACCCAGGGTCTAGGGCCTCCCTCAAACAGCATCTCCTTGGAGGAGCCCAGGGTTACCAAGGCAACGGAGGAGGGATCCACAGGCTGCGGGGGGTGAAAAAAGGGCGAGAGCTGGGTATTGTTCCGGCAGTGGATGGGGCAGGGGTGAGGGGCAGGCCACCAGGCATGGAGACCTCAGAAACCATCCACATGCCTGGGGGTTGAAAACACCAGGGGGCCTTTCCTTCCTGTGTCCAAGCCCTGGTCATGTTCAGGGCCCTTGGCCACCTCCTCCTGGAAGTCTGACCCCGCCTCATGACGGTCACAGCTGAGCCTCTGCTCAGATACCACCCACTCCGAGAGGTCTTCTCGCCCAAAGCCGAACCTCCCCCGACTCCTGCTCCCGTCTGGGTCACCAACTGCCATCACTCTGTGGAGGTAGAGGCACCTGGTTCTCTGTCCCCACACCTTGAAGAAAGCTGACCCTTGCTAGCTGTGTGGCTTGAAGGTGGCTAACCTCTCTAAGTCTCAGCCTTGCCGTCTGTAAAATACATACCATACCTCCTGCCCCATGGAGTTCAAGGGAGCAGCTATGAAAGCCCCGAACGCCCCTCTGGCACATGCTTACTCAGCCAGGTGCCCCGGCTGTCATCTGCCCTGTTGTCTCCATTTGACACACCCAGACGGGATTCCCTGCCAGGCTCAGCAGGGGCCGGGTGGGTTTATTCTGGTTAGAGCTTGCGGGCTCTCCCCGCAGGTCTCCTCACCACTCCTGGTGAAGCCACACCATGGACTAAGTCAGCCGCTGTGTGCCTTGCTCCCGACTGTCCCCATGACCAGCCGGGGGTGGGGTGGGGTGGGGAGGCAGTGATCCGAAGGCCCCGGCGTGTCCTAGAACTGACATCTGGAGAGCGACAGGCTCTCACCTCCATGCAACATCCCTTCCCTGCGCAGGCATAAAACTGTCACCGCGCACCATGCCTGGGCAGCAGGTGTGCCGTCAGCACCGCCGAAGCCAGGTGCCTGTAAATCACACGAGCTCTGTGGAGTGCTTTAAAGCGCAAACCCTCACATAGAGAAAGACACCAGAGGAGGGCACCTGCGCCTCTGGGCCTCCGATGTCTGGTTTGTAGAACAAGAGGGCGGGTGGATCACAGGAGAGGCCCTTGGTGCTGGCCGTCTGTGCTCCCGGGAAAACAGACTCCGCTGTGCTCTTTACCCGCATGTTCACACTCAGTCTCAGGGGAAGATACGGACTCAGAGGGGGCGGGGAGGTGGTGGCCAAGGCGTGTCCACGCCTGGTTCGCACCAAGCCTCCAGCACCCATGTGCATGGTCCAGACTGACCACCAGAAGCAAGGAGCCCAGTAGTGTGCCCCAGACCCAAGCACATCGGGCATCCCCACAGTAAGCTTCAGAAAGACAAAGGCAACAGAGTAACTGGGGCGGGGCGGGGGAGGGGGTTGGCGCTGGCTGCTGACTTTGGAGAAGTTGGGTAACAAGTATACCTGAGCCCAGGTGACGGTGGAATCCTCATGGGTCAGAGGGGGCCAAGGGAGATCAGTTCCCACAAGAGCTTGGCTTTACTTCTCAGGACACGTGGAGGGGCCATAATACTGGACTTGAAGGGGACACCCACCTGAGTTCCTGCTGTCACGGGGCTCTTAGGAGGGGGCTGCTGCTGTCAATTCCTGACCTTGACCCGCTGCCCTCTGTTCCAGGAGAATATCCAACTCCTAAGCCAGTATTCAGAACCCTTAGAACAATCTGACGCGAGGGCCCCTCCAGACGCACCCCTCATCTCAACACACCAGTCCCATGTCTTTTTCCACAGATGATGCTCCGTGACTCCACGCCTGCTCTTCCAGCCACCTTGCCTCTCTGCTTGCTGCCTCCCGGGGACCCGCCATGACCGCCATTATATGAAATGACCCGAGTGTCTGCTGTCCCATAAACTGGTGACTGGCCCCCTAAGAGACAGAGTGGGGGTTCTCCCCAGACACCAAAAAGTGCCTGGTGACTGTCCACAGTGAACTGATGAAGGTGCAGATGACTCCCAGCCAGTGGATTCTGGCTCCTAGAGGACAGGGTGAACCCGCTGACGTGGGGGTTCTGAGGCTGTAATCTTTAGGGGAGCAGAAAGCCTCACCTTTCTCCCTCGGAGCGGCTGGTGGGTCTGAACGACAGGCCATGCCGTGAGCCGTCCAGGGTGTCACCCAGGACACCACCGCCACGGCTCCTTCCTCTAGAGCAGCGGTTCTCAACCTGTGGGTTGTGACCCCTTTGGGAGTCAAACAACCCTTTCACAGGGGTTGCCCGATTCATAACTGTAGAAAAATGACAGTGATGAAGTAGCAATGAAAATAATTTTATGGTTGGGGGTCACCACCACATGCGGAACTGTATGGAAGGGTGCGGCATGAGGAAGT